ATGCCGACCAAAGAGCCGCGCACCCCAGGAGACTTTATACACCCTCAGGAGGCAAAAACGAAGGGGTGGTTAGTCGTTGTGTACAGTCAATGGGGGCAGCTCAGCAGGGCTGGCTGTGACTCTGAAAACATCGTTGTGACTCTCCCCCCTGCACCCCCCCCCGCAGTATTCATCCATGCTCTGTTGAGCAGCTAAGAACGCGATGTGTGGATAATGGGAACTGTTAATGTGGGGGGGGGTTTGTTGTTAGCAAAGAAAGCGGGAATAAGGATCGGGATGTGTGCCAGAGTAGGGCCTTCTCTGAGGCGAAACCCCCACTGCCGCCCTCCCGCCCCCCAGCCTTCGTTGCCCAACATGTAGCCGTTAATTAAACCCCCCCTCCCGTGCTACTTGCTTCTCCTCTTTTCAATGGAGCCTCTGTCATGGTGGTTTTTCATCTGCTCATTGCCTCCTGTTCTGTGGCCATCCATGAGCAGTCCACTAGCTGGGGGGGGGCGGGGGGGGGGCGCTATGAAAGAGTGACAGAGGGGACTTGTGTGATGCTCGTGGTGTGTGGGCGCCACCTTGCAGACGACCTGACATGTCAGAGGCCCTGGTTGGTGGGAGACCACCCACCCCCCCCCCCCCCCCCACCATTCCAGATGCACCGCCTTCCTGGGGGTGTCAGACTCCACCACACAAATGACAAATGGGGGATCAAACAAGCGGCAATAAACATAAACGGGATCAGAACGTTGCAAACAGAAATGCAGATGTGTGAAGGACAAACTACAGGCTCACGGACCAAAGAAAGGACAGCCGTCCATAGTAAACGAGCCAGACTCCTCACCACCAAATCAAGCCGGCTATGAAACGGACCTGAACAGCAGTTCGCTCCATCTGACATTGCAGACGAAGCCGCACCCCTGAAGTAACGACTCCATCCCACACACTGAGCTATGGTGCGTTTAGATTCAGATTTCCTTTTCTTGTAATTGTTTTAGCTATTCTCATTCATAAAAAAACTAAATACTGCTCCTCAGACCTAACCGTTTCTTAATAGACAATAGACAAATACACAAATATCGCAATAAATAGAAAAATATCCCAATATATATATGTATAAACAGTCGAATAAATATATACAAGAAGGATAGTTGGCAAAGTGTCCAGTGTTAAAATGTGCAGTGTTAAAATGTCCAGTGTTAAAATGTCCAGTGTTAATGTGTCTAGTGCTAAAGTGACCAGTATTAACGCAATTTTTTTTTATAATTAGCATGTTGGGAAACTAAGAATTCAAGGTTTCCGAAGCTTTATTGTCATTTGTACAAGTACAATGAGATACTTGTTTGTGTTCCTCCCAACATATAACAATGAAGGACAATAAATAGCACTAGTAGAATATCGCACAAAAACACACATACAATATCCATACAATACACATACAGTACATAATAATACACAAGTAAGACAACAAGGTTGAGCCCTGCTTTCAGTCTGTCAGCGCGAGGCGTCCACCGACTATGAGCATCGCCCCGCCCCAGCATTATCCCCTCTGACGCATTCCTTCCACTTACGTAACGCTCCCCCCTCAGTGGCCCGCATTAAAATTCATGCGCTTTATATATCAACATGCAATAACGTGCAAATTGTAGCGCCAAATAAAAATAACCGCAGTGTTCTTGTGGTTATGATTAATTGGGTAAATGATGCAAGTTTGCGGCCGGTAATTAAAATGAAGAATCGAGTGAGCGTTATCATATCGATTAACCTTTGCAGGCCGAGGGGGGGGGGGCGTGTAAAATGAGGGGGACCACCACAGACATAGTAATTCTAATATGTAAATCGCTGGCAAACGCTCTCTATAAATACTTCAGGCTTGTTTGCAGCACATGGATATTTCCCCTTTTGCCTCCATAAACTCCGGTTTATATGATGAGTCTTTCGGAGCCTTTCGAAACAATCGCTCGCAGTCAGCAGTCGTTGGCCTTTTGGGGCGATCCGCCGTCAGCGTTAAATTCCGAAGGCGTAAATGTGGCGGGCGGGGGGTGGTCGCAGACCGCGAAGATAATGAATGCAGTGATTCCATCGAACGCGTTGTTTCGGGGGGGATGAATGCGATGTGCTTTAACACCACATGTGCTGTGTTAGCAGAGGAGTGCAGTGTGAAGCGTGCTTTAAATAAAACACGGGTGGGGGTAGAACTTGGGTCATGAGAGGAGGGGGGGACAGAGGGGCACGTTCGGGTCATAAGTCTCCTTGACAGGCCAGTGGCGTCGGGCGTCCGAGAATATGGCATTCCGGAATGGACGTGGGAGCCTGCTGGAGAGGATGGCACAGCTCCCCATCACATCTGGACTGGAACCAGACACCGTGGCAGGTTCCAGGGGTCAAAGGTCAGCGGGGCGTGTACCGTGATCGGAAGCCTGAGACCCTGGGCCTTGAATGTATAGTCATGGTTTAAGTGCACTGACCTGCAATTTTGCGTTGGTCTTTTTCTTTCATGAGGATGACCTTTGAGGATGTGCCCTCTCTGCTTTTCTGGTTTTGCCGTGCGATATAAATTCCATGTCGGGAATTATGGATTCTGTCATACATCCCGAGGTTGTGCGTGAGATGTGCAAGAGGGAACTGACATTCACCTGGATGCAAAAGGTGAATGGAGCAACATTTCTAACATTTTTAATAAATTTCCTGTCATGGCCACACACACACACACACACACATGTCGGATAAACATATCTTTATGGGAACCGCTCATTCATTTCTATGGGAAAGATGTTAACGCTAACTTTGACAACCTTAACCCAGGAAACTGGTCCCCATAAGGGAAAAAAAGAGTATTCATCACGTTGTGGACACACACACACACACACACACACACACATACATATATGCACACACAGATGAAGGGATCTAGATTAATACCAAACTAAAAAATGTTCTGCTGCTCTGGTATATTCATAGTACAGGCCTGTTTATTTATGACAGACATAGCATATACTTTATAATCAACACAAATATCTATCAAATATGAGTCACTAAAAACAAAGAGGACAAAAGAATTATGGTAATTATATCTTTAATTAAAGTGTGTGTTTTTTCCTGCTTTGCATAATCAGACGTTTTTCTTTGGGCTTGGGCTAATTTGCCTCTCTTCTGTATGAAATAGATTTTTTTTTGGGGGGGGCAGCAACGTGGGGATCTCCACGGCGACGGGTCCAGGGATCCTGCTTCCAGGCGCCGTTAACATCGATCGCAGCGGCTCCCTCACACTCACAGGCGATCAAATTCAACATTACTGAATCTGCTCTCTGGCCAAAGGGAAGTTAGCGATGGGAAGTTAGCAATGGGAAGTTAGCGATGGGAAGTTAGCAATGGGAAGTTAGCCTGGACCGTGCAGGGCAGAGGGGGGCGGCCTTACAGTGCAATAAACCAGAGCTGCCTCATCAGCACAACTATCCTGCTTCTCTTTCACAGGTTCAGCTGATGAACCAAAGAGGGGCCGTCCACGTTGTTTAGTGAGCATTTAATAGCCTGCGGGGCTGGAGCATGCCGCAAAGACTTTCATCTACTGGTTTAAGCAGCCTTGGTGGTACAGCTACAAAACAATGGCAACTGACTGCAGCCCCAGTTCCATCTCCAGCAGCAAACCGCTCACAACAAACCCACAAATAACTTCAGCCTCATTAGAAAGCTGAACGTGTCAGGTCGCTTAGGATGACAGACACACAGGCTGAGTCCGCTGGCATTCCGAATTTCTATTACCTGCTTCTCTTTACCCATAAAAATATATCTCAGCATAAAAATATATTTCCCTTTACTGGAAATCTCAATATATTACATGTGGATCGCTTTAGAACACTGTTTCAGAAATTAAAATTCCAGCGATAAAGACAAGAAATTCGATCGTGTTTACTTATGGACCTATTTTTTTAACAGGTTGGAATGTTGTCTTTGGACTTCTTCCACCTTGATGTCCAGTTCAGGGTTTGTACAGCCCTTCATTGTAATCCACAAAATCCCAGCGAGGTCACAAGTGCACAGTTTACCTTTCAGATGCCGCTGTTGGGTTCATTTTATCTATTTGTTTTGCTAATGTAGTACATGAGCAAATCGGAGCTGTTAGCAATTTCCAAGAACACTTTAAAAGGACTGGCTAGCTTTGGCTCTGTGTACCTTAATTACCAAAGTGCTTAGCAACAGTGAGGTCAACACTGGCCCTTCTAGGACCCTGGGGGGACAAATGCAGAATTAAGAATATAATTGTAATGGAGGACTTGCTTTTGAGTACGCAAGAAGTTAGCGTGCCATTTTCTCGGCGGCGACAAGTGGTGCAACGCACAGCGCAATCTGGGTTCCCTCGGTCCCCATACGATTTGTAGCTAATTAAATTCACTTTTAAAAACCCTTCTTGGTCTTCATCTCATACCATCCTGGGACGCATTCCAGAATGCATCGAAAGCTCGACGACAGTGTGCTAGCCGCACAGATTCAAAATGCTTTCATTGTCACAGAGTCAACGGGAGTAGTCTGTGTGTTTGGCCGGACTGGCGGAAATCTAGTATTTGTAGCCCAGGTGTCTCCGAGCTCCTGGTGTAATGTAATCATGCCCTGTCCAGACTAACACATAATTACGAGCTGCTTGCTATTGATGGTAAAGGGTATGACCCTACTGTGGTAAATATTTGTTATAGCTACACTTTTCATCGCTGCCATTGAGCCAGCTGGGCTGAGAGATGTATGGTGTGTCTGACATCCGATCGGCCAGGTTGCCAACCTTCCCACAGGAACGTTTTGCTTAAAGCGACTTTTTTTTGTTTTTTTTTTACTTTTTCATGAGAGAAAACCTGGATTTCTGACTCAATAAAGCATCGAATATTCTTTCCCGAAATTGCTGATTGCGCAATGATAAGGCACCGATGACTTACTCGAGAAATTATTCTGATTTCAGATAATTTATGATTTATGATTGGTTGATATCTGGAGAATAAATGTTTTTGTGCCTTTTTTCATCTCAGTTTAGGATGTCCTGAGAGGAGCAGAATGAAGACAAAGAGGAACTTCTCTGTGACGCTGCAGGGATCTATTTTTTGGATCCAACTGAGGGTTCCGAAAACATTTTCTTACTAAAAATGTGAATAAAGACGCTGAGAAAGTGAATATGAAGAATGTGATTCTTAGCAGTAGGTATTATCTTTAGCGTTGCAGTGATCTCCGTTTTATGTGGGGGAACCAGGACAGAAAAACCAGGGATCTTGTTACAATATTCCGCTTCCCTGTATCCCTCCCTCCTTGGGATTCCTGGGTGGGGTAACCATGGCGGCTGCGGTTTCTTGCTCTTTGAAGGACAGCCAGTGACAGCAAATGCCGGCCCCTCGCTCTCGATGGCACAGCTGTCCCTGGAACCCTCTGTCTCGGCGAAGCAGATACGCATGGGGGGGGTGGGGGGTGAACGCGAGCGCAGTGATCTCACTGCGCTTTAATGCAGTGCATAGCTATTTCCTCTATTTCCCAGGTATGTGCAGCTGTTGCCATAGCTGGGTTATTTACTCAAGCCAAAGTCATCAAATAGTGGCACTCAGAGGTTAAGGAACACTTGGGATTAAGCTTTTCATGTTGATTCTGCTAAGTACAGACTGCAGACCGATATAACCCTTCTACAGCTCAATTACTCATTGAATTCTATTCAGCTTCTGTACCAAGCATCATCATCATCATCATCATCATCATTATCATTATTATTATTATTATTATTATTATACATAAAGTATATATATATATATATATATCAAATATTAATATTTATTAATTGAATAACAATATATTATTCATAATCATTTTCTTTGGGGGGGGGGGGGGGTTTGTGATGGGATTTATTTTTGTAATGTTGACCAATTCACATATATTAGAGAGAGAGAGAGAGAGAGAGAGAGAGCACTGTGCAAAAGACGTAGGCAAAGAAAACATAATTTAACAGTACAACTTATGCAAGTTGTACTTGCATAAGTACAACTTGCATAAGTTCTATGACTTCTATCTTATCATATAAAATACATATTAAAAAGTAAAATGTTTCGAATTAATCACTAATCACTTTTTTTTTAACTAGTCCATCAAAGTGATTATTTATTATTTGTTAACGGCCCCCGCCATTGGGAAGCACTTACTCACCAGCAGAGGTGGGTGGCACACAGTAAGCACACTGGTAATTTTTCTTCAACCACCCTCCCACCCCTTCAAAATACCCCCCACCCCCCCATGCACAGCAAGGCTCTGCCGATTCAGGCATACCCCAGGGAGACCCCCCCCCTCCCCTACCCCCTTCAGGAGGGGTCTTTGCTTGAGTGAGGCTTTATAATGACTCAAGGAAATGGTGTTCCTTGAAAAAATCCTCAGAGCTGTCAGACGATGAAGATTAATGGCAGGGCCGTCTCCCTGGTGAGGAATTATCGCCCAAGTCTCCCTCCTGCTCACCCTCTGCCGCACATATTTGTAAGCGGGCACCGGGTGCTGGTAGCTATCTCGGGGATCCTCCGTCATGTGACCAGGCTCAGGGCAGATTCATAAACGTCTGGGAACGTTTCCTCTCTGTGGTCGAGAGGCAGGTGAGGGGACGGGATGGCGAGACCGTCATTGACCCAAGGGCCGCCTTTTGCCACGGATCTCCAGAGACCACATCGTTCCCCAGGAGAGTTTCTGCCATATCCCTTCTCCCCACTATAGGATGCAACCTCAACTCACATTCCCTGCTCACTATTTACTTAAGTGAAGCCTTTGTTCCAGAGCTGGCTGAGGCTCGAGAGAAAACGATTAAAACCATCATTATTAAACAGTAAGGTGTTCCAGAAGTCCGCCCGCCACGATGAAGAGATTTGGGATCGTTCGGATCTGCATTCCTGCATGTCTGTGTCCCCTCCGCGCGTCTACAAAGAGGATGTAATGACCATTTCTTCCCCCATGTAATCACAGCCTAAATATACAGTCCGAAAGTGTTTAAAAACCGTGTTTATTCCACTGTAGATATATTATATGTTACAAAGAGGACATTTATTTGAGCCAGAAGTCAAACTAGAAGTCACGATCTGTAAACGCTCAACAGGCCAGGAGACGTGTTAAGGACTTCATGTTACACAGAAAGGGTTGAGTAACTCTGGGTGAAACTGTCCCATATATCAAACGAGCTATGAATGTCTTATGGAGAGGTCATAAAGGCAGTGTGTACTGCAACACAGCTAACACTGGTCTCTATGCATTTTTTTTTATTATTATTTTGTTTGAAGAGTGGCGAGAACATTTGGCCCCAGTTCAATCCCAACGGCTCGCTTTTATTTCTCTCCCCCCAAAAAACTAGACTCTTGGGGTTTGGCACCAACGGAACACAATGAGGAGTCTGTAATGAGGTTCTTATGTGGGCTTTGGCGGTATGCTGGATTCCACAGACACGCCGTCCCCCTCTCACGGCGCGCTAGCTAAACTTAGACCGCACCGGGGTCTCCCCTCCAAAAAACTGCATGTGTGTTCGTGCGAACACTCGCTGCCGGCTTGCCCCCGGCCCCCGGCCCGAGACACACCTTACAGCGCAGAATCGGAGCTGAACAAATCGATAAGCCATTAGCAGCCAATTAAACGGGCTGCCCGTCCCACAGCACTAGAGACGCACTTGTACATCGGTAACTGCTAGTTCACTTCAAACTCTTGGATAATTAAATATTAGAAAAAGGAAAACACTTTAGTTTGTCTACTCCTAACTATTAAGAAACTGTTACTCATCATTTTGTCATATATTAATAGATAGAACATTTCATTCATTTGCAAGCAAATTTCAAATGTAGTGCAATCATATCTTGCTCCGCTTATTTACAAAACAGCTTATAAATCACTCGCAAATACAAAACAATGGGTTAGTAAACATACTCAGTAATGAGGATTTACAAGCTTTTTAGTAAATACTTTGTGAGGCAGGAGACATCTTTGTAGTAAATTTCAAAATTTGACTATAAGTGAATATATATATTATATATATATATATATATATATATATATATATATAATCAAAAGATTAGTAACAGTTCATTAATATATAAGGAGCAGACCTTAAATTAAGTGTTATAAAAAAGATATGCCTAGTTTATTTACATACATGAATAATTCAGAGATATTTTAAAAGACTTGTTTTGATGCCGAATGGCTTACAGTAATATTCTAGAACATTTTAGAAGGGAATTTTGAAATCCTGGCTCTGGTGATCCACTGCATCTTCTGGGTTCCGTGCCATTGATTAGCCATGATGGAACCGCCGATTGAATGGGTGGCACGTTTCAAAAGGATCTTCAGCTTCAAAGAAAGCCTGTTTTACTTCAGTTGTGTCGCAATCATTCCTTAATCCATTAGAGAACAATACTCAGCATTTACAGTGGGTTACTAGGTCTAAGATTAAGAAACACACACTGGTCTGGCCTGAAGAACCAAACTGCCATGTTATTGTAATTGTTATAATTTCTTTCACAATTGATGCACAATTTGTTGAAATAGCATTAATCTGCTTGAAAAGCTTTTTTAATACACTTCTTTTGGCTGCAGTTTAGAATAATTCAGCTGCTCACTGGAGATTAAGATCAAATGGCTCCACTCGCCTTCGCACAACATTAAGGATAATATTTCAGAGACATAGTCGCAGTGAGGATGCCATCGTCCACTGGAGCAGTGACAGGACGCTCTGCACTGAGCAGCCCGACCCACACCATCGCGCTCCCCCCACACCAGCGGCAATATAAACAGAGATTAATTTCCCTGTTTGGCGGGGGCATTCTCCAGACGAAACGGGGGAATAAAAAAGCTAAACGGAACTGGAGCTGAGAACTTTAGAAATTCAGTATCGTCAAACAGCATTCCCTGGTGGGTGCAGTTCCTGCAGTGTGTCCGGCATGGGAATGGGAATGTCGCATTTTGAAGGTGACAGGAAATGGGAAACATCCTCCACAGTCAGGTGGCCGCATGTAAAAACAGAGGAGGGCAACAGCTGATCATAGATCCTCTATACCGGACACTACATACAGTATAGTGTGTGCAAATATACACAAACCTCCCTTAATGTCACCCCAGTATTTACAGAAACCATTCAATACACCCATGAGTTTTCTGACTCGACTAATCAATACCTCACTGACTTTTTTTTTAACTAATTAAATTTATTAGTTAAGTGAGCTGGTTCTGAAATGCACCAAAAACACAGAATGGCTGCAGTGCCCCTGAGGAGAGGAACTGAAGCGTGTTCTTTTAGCCGTCCAAGAAGATATCAGTAACTTTTCGGAGAACAGAAGAAATTCTTGTTAGTTTTCACTGTGTCATTGTTAATTTTGCATAAGTTGTACTGTTAAATGATGTTTTCTTTGCCTACGTCTTTTCCACAGTGCTCTCTCTCTCTCTCTCTCTCTCTCTCTCTCTCTAATATATGTGACTTTTTATGTATTTGTAGGATTTTTTACTAAACGAAAAAAACATTTTGAGATATGCTAAAGAGCTCAGCTGACTTGAAAAGCCGAACAATATGGATACTTTTCATGCTCCTTTGGTGGAAAATCTACAAGGAAAAGTCTTGTTTGTAGATTTGTGGTCGACCCAGTAGCAGGCATTGAACCGTGACCATTGGCTGAACTGGGTTCAGATACAAGGAGCAGTTCGAGGGCCCCGGCACTGGAATTTTTCTGTTTTCCTGTGCCAGAACTGTGCTCTCTCCACACATCCTCCACATAACGTACCATTGTTCGTAATGTAATAATACGCTTTATAAACTGATAAATATTTATTGAGGAAATGTTACATCTGCACGGTCCTGTATTGGATACCCAGCTGTAAGATAGATGGACGAGTGGGAAAATTACATTTTATTATTAGCGAAAAAGCAGTGGAAAGAAACCTAATAAATCTTATGTCACGGGAGGTCTGGTGACGTCGGTAATAGTCAATAATGGCCAGTTTGGCTTTGCACATGGAACCCCATTGGCTCAGCCAATTTTCAGAGTGGGTATAGATCCAGATTCGAGCCTGTGGAGGTCAATACCGGGAGTGTGCGACCTAGTGGAGGCAGGAGGACAATTGGCAGAGTTTATGAGGTCGCCTGCGGCTCACGAACAATAGGGTATTTATTTAAGTAATGAGTT